CATGGTAACTATGTTTGGTTAGTTACCATGTGCACACGGTAACTGCGTTTGGTTAGCATGTGTGCACATGGTAACTATGTTTGGTTAGTTACCATGTGCACTGCATAGTCTCTGCTCTGAAGGATGATCATTGGCACAGCTTCTACCATTGAGAACGGTGGCCTGTCCTTGTCTTCTCTTCATATCCCTCTGCTGGTGCTTCTGCGGCGTTAACATGCCTTTGCTTAAACCACCAGTACCCCAGGGGGTCTTAGGCCCCCTCTGAAGCAAATGCACATGGGCCCGCGTGGACCACCGATTCAGCCTCTGTGTTAACGCCTAAAAACGCTTCAGGTACTCTTGGTTTAACGGAGTACGAGCGTGACTCTGCTTTCCTTTTGGCATCCCACAAGTATGTTATGGGCCTCGCTCCACCGCTCCCCAAATGTGCGAAATGAGAATGAATCTTCCGCTAGAACATGAGAAGATGTGACGCCATATTTTTTTGTCTTTTGTGCACGAGCTGAGTAGTGGAGCGAGCCCCCCTATGTGTTGACGATGATTCCAGGAAGCTGTCGTATAGAGTATATGTCTCTCTCTGCTGCACGGTCCATCCCTGCTGCCTGTTCGTGCATGGCGTTTATCATCAAGTTTTATGTAATGCTGGTGTTACTCCGATTGCACCTGTGATGAAACTTCGTCCCACCCTCATCGCGTGAGGAATGGGTGCAGCAACCAGTGGTGAGGTGGGAAAGGGAATCGGATCGCCTCATGAAACCCGTGCATTCCAGCATACATAATGAAGGGTCATCACCCCCAGGGCGAGCGAGCATCGCATCGCCAGATGAGAATATCTGCAAGGGTTGAACATCTGTGTACTCTGGTCTGAACCCCCCATCATCATAATGAAGGGTCATCATCCCCCATCATTTATGATGCACCATAGCACATGTACAAGCCTGAGAAACTCTATCGTCACTGCCTCTCTGTGATGACGACACAGCTCATGTTCGGTTAACATATGTGTAATTGCCATCCCTCGCGCGGGGAGCCGTAAGAGTATGTGGTCCATGGAAGTTTCCCCAGCAACTTGCAAATGGGTGTACTCATCTACACCACCCTTGTATGGCAACCCCGAGAGACTCTATCGTCATTGCCTCTCTGCGATGACGACACAGCTGATGTTCGGTTAACATGTGTGTAATCGGCATCCCTCGTGTCGGGGCGCAGTAAGAGTATGTGGTTCATGGAAGTTCCCCCTGCAACTTGCAAATGGGTGTACTCATCTACACCACCCTTGTAGGGGCTGGAATTGTGGCACCTATCTAATTGCGATCCCCTGCCTCTTGTCTTCGTAGCATGTGGAAAGTTGGAAACCATGTTGCCTACAAACTTCTGGCTACACAGCGCCATTTGGCACTGTGGCCGTAACTGTGAGGATTCAATGCTGGCTTTCCACAGGCATAACCTTAATAACCTTAGGGTCACTGCCTGGTATGTGGAAGTGGCCTCCCACCATAGGTGATATCTGTTCTCCCATTCAATTTTTTTTCCTTTGCAACCCATAACCTTGAGTCGTCGGTGGTCGGTGTCTTTCATGCCTCCTGACAGTCCTTTACCAGAACTATTGGGCGTGTAGGCCTGTGGGGGGAGACCTATGGGGCGTGGATTGAGACCTCTTTGTTTTTTTTTTTTTTTTTTTTTTTTTTTT